GCTCCATTGTGACACTATGCAAACTAGTGTCAGAAATTGGAATGATATGATGTAAAAGATACATGAGAGAATTCATGGAACTGAAGGGAAAAGGAGCATAGCAGGCCAATATTTAGCATAAGTTTATAAAAACTTTGTTATAGATGAGAAATAAACTGCTTCAATGGGGTATGTATACCACCTGCTAGGGGACTAGACAGTCTAGTACATGGAACCGAAACAAATTACAGTCTAAAATTACGGGGGCTAGACTTAACAATTTTCATGTTGCTTCTATTGGTAGTTGTTTTAGAAGTTCTTCAGTGGGAATTGAAAGAGGAAATGATGGGGCTGGTACTCTGGTAAAAACAAAACAAAACAAAACAAAACAAAAAACTAAGACTGAAACTACAGATTTCAATGTCTGGGCACAAACACCTGGAATGGTAATGATGGGGGATGGCGATGTCCTAGTGACTACTGAACCAGAGGGTGGCAACTTTCCAGGCAGACGACAGATCTCTGCCAAAGTTTAGATATGAGAAGGTGTAACAATCGAACTAAGAAATGTCTTAAATTTTCATTGATCTGTTTCTCTCAGCTGAGGGTGGAAGTGTGTGTATAGGGAATACCACAAACAAGAAACAAGAAGTTACTGACTGTGGGGAAGTATGTTTTAACTTATATGAGCTCCAGTCTTTGTTTTCACAGACCTTCTAAAACAGAGCAATAACCTTGAAGCTGCGTGATTTTGGCCAATAAACTTTTTTATTTTTGATAGTGTTCAAAGATACAGTTTCAGAAATGAATTTCCCAAGTAGAAGATTAAGAGTACTTGATACATGAAACTTCTGCTGATAAAAGTATTTAAGGAAAAACTTCTTTTTAAATCTGTTCAAAAGATGGATAAAAGGATGTACTATATTAGACAGGTAAAAATACGTGAATGTTGGGACTGTGTCTGAAAAAGTTGTAACATATTTTTCATCATTTTCAGTATGGTCCATAGTCTACATATACATAAAATTGAAATGGTCTTGAAACAACTTAATTGAAGTATTAAATAACTGAATTACATGTTCAGATATAACTTTATTGGATGACTTTGGTGGATAGGAGCCAAATGAAACAAAAGGAGAAAGCCTGGCTTCTTTAAAGTTAAAAGCCTGGTAAATGTCCCCTGTTGGGAGAAATGGCCCTCCATGAGTCTCTCACTCACCTATATATCTTGCTGAGTATGCCAAGAATGCAACGCCCTAACCATTTCTCAAGGTTGTATTTGCAGTGAGAAACTTTGAGGGATAAGTCAATGTATACCTTGAGACAAAAAGAAGGCTTGCTTACTTCTGCCTTAAAATAGTATATTCCCCAAACTCAGAGTTCCTGTCCTATAATACAATTCACTGCCTATGCAAGCATCCATCTGGACCCTTGGCAAAACTCAATCCCCTTCCCAATGGGACTATGGGGTAAGGAGGGAACTAACACAACATGCTCTCTGTGCCAAGAATAATAAAATCCTTTGTTTCTAACTCAGGTCTCTTGTGTCTTCTGCCAGCATCCATAAAATAATAACAGGTAAACTGATTAACTCATAAGCAAGGTAAAATTGAATTCCAGGTCCAACACCTCCCCCTCTCTCTTTTGGGTCAGTTTAAAATCTTCGACTGAGGCCATGGCTTCTATGTTGAAGGTGGGGTGTTTTTAGGTGAGTATAATGGAGATAGGGTGTTTGCATAGGAACAATATGCAGTTCCTTCAATAAACTTAGTAGAAAGAAGCTGTATGATTCAACTTGTGAATGAAAAAGGAAAAGAGACAGAAATGGAGGGTGAGTCCAAGGTGATCTGACCTCCTCTCGCACAGAAACCATAACCATTCACAGAAGTGACAGTAAAATGGCCTGGGGCACATCCCACATATGCCTCAGTAGTGCTATTTCCTGTCTGAGAAGAGCTGCTCAGTGCGTATATAAGATAATAACCTCTAGTGTCACCTGCTCCCAAGCAGAGAGCTAATCTGAAGCAGTTTAATTCTCTGGAAGGCATGAGATGGGGCTACTCTTGGCAAACACCAGGCAACACAAAATAAATAACTGGTCCAAGCCTAATACTTGGCTGACTTGTTTGGATTTAGGCAAACTATATTCCAGACATGGGGATCTTATTGAGCCCAATGCACTCAGCAACCAGGAGGAAAATAACTTTGTGCTCACTTCTGGGGAAACCATGCTGTTACAGCAAAAAGAAAAACTGGACAACCATCGGATATTTTAATTTATGCAAAAGGTTGGGTATCTGGCACACACGCTCTCTGTGGCTTGTAACTTGTAACTTTCAATTCTCTGAGTTTGTTTCATATTAGTTTGACAACTTCTTGGGATAGGCTAAAAACACCTGGAACTTATTATAAAGGTACTGTAAGATTTCTAAATTCAATGTGATATAAAACTACAAATGAAGTAAATTACATACAAACATACAATACCTTGTATAAATTATGTCTTATGTGAACCAGACAATATTATAAACCATAGAAAATATTCCATGTTAATTTTTAGGGTAGTTTTTAAAATCTAATAATTCTTGATATTATTTGGATTATATTTGGGGACATTTTTTAATGGCTTTTCAAAAGTTAGACTAATAAAATATTGAGTTAATGAATATTTCTATTTAGTTAAAGATCATATATGGGATTCTGCTTATATCAAATTCTGAGATAGTGCCTGGTGCCCCTTGGAAGGGAGTTAGAAATTTTGTTTTTGTTTTTAGCCAGCTGGGATTCTAGTGAAATCGACAAGGGGGTAGACTGGACTGGATTTTCAGGAACCAATTCCAGATGTTTAAATAGAGGGTAACAAAATAAACACATGCTTTAACAGGGCAACATACAGCATAGCACATTAAATTTCCCCCACTGTTATGGGGGAAAATTAATGTTCTCCTATAAGATAAAAAGAAATCTAATTAAATCAGAAATGTTAATATGACCCCAGGGCATTGTCTTTTACTCTGCCTTAAAAGAATTGTACCCTACGGCTCATGTGAAACTATAAATTATATCCCTAGCACCCCGTCTTGGTACTTAATATTATTCTCACACTTCTGAGATTATTTTAATTCCTAACTCTCCTTAGGGACACACATCTGCTTTACCTTCTGACTGACTGAAGTGTGTCCCCAGGCTCTCCTTGGTTACCAAACTATGGTAAAGCCATATTAAATTCATGACCAAATCTACCTTCCTTGAGGATTAAATGAAGTTATATATGTTTTAAGAAAGGGGTTCCAGAGCTTCATGGCATCTTTTGTTTTCCGGACTCTGTCTGAGATGTTGTTAGATTCTGTTTTCCTCCTATGTGCGTGTTTTAGTTTTATTGCATTAGAACTGCATTACTTTTAGAAGGAAGAGGAAGAAGTAACCCAAGATTGGTCAGAGAGAAAATGGCTATGCATGCTCCAAGCAGAAACAGTCTTTCCACCTCCTGTAAATTCCACTGAGACCTCTCTAGCACTACAAAACAAATATGATTTAAACCCACATTACCATCTTTATTTAAGGAACTTCCCATTAGAAAATGTTTTAATTCTTCCATATACAGATATGTTTTGTGAGAAAAAGGGAACAAGGATTACCTTCTTTAAAGAATAAGGAGAATAATAATAATTTAATTTCTAAATACCATACATCTGGAATATCAGTAAATAGGTAGCAAAGAATCAGGGAAAGTTTGTGAATATCAGGAAAATAAAAAGTCCAGAAAACACAAACATGAAAGAAACTGGGGGAGAAAAAGTCTAAGTTAAAGCAGAAAAAAAGTGCTATAAGAATTTTTTTAAATTATAAAGTACTTTAAAGACAAAGTACTTAAGGGTAGATGAAGAACCTCCTATAAATAATCATCAGAATCTGAATAATAAATGGAAATAGTCCCCTTGGTACAGTGTAAAGGATGCAATTTTAATTATGTGATTTTTCTAGCTAATTTCTGCTTCAAAAACAGTAAAGTACTTCTGCTTACAAGGTGGCAGAGACGAGAACTTTTCTGAACCTCTCATATGCACGTTATCATCAAAATTTAAATTAGCAGAAACATGCCTTTGAGTTAAATCACAATTAGCCCTTAGACAGTTCTATTTACTGGAAAACCACTCTGTGCCAAACACTGGCAGCACGCACTAAACAACAGTTTACATTTGTAAAGCACTTTTTCCTTTTCAGGTTCTCACAAATAACATTTTAAAACAAACTATATTTGTTTTTCAGCACTAACTGCATGTGCTGAAGACATTCATTATAAATTGGACCTATTCAGGAGAGTTTTTGTTTTTAAAAGAAAAAGAGAGGAAGTGGAATATAATCAATAATATTGTTATGCTTGTACTGTGACAGATGATCACTAGAATTACTGGGGTGATCACATTGTAAGGTATAAAAATGGTGAATCACTATATTGTACACCTAAAACTAATATAACCAATATAAGAATGTATATCAACTATACTTACATCAAAAAAAATTTTTTTAAAAGACAAAATGTACCCACTTGTACTTGTATACATATATTTTACATAGTTATGAACGGAAGTCAGTCAACAATGATAAATACAAACAGATTGTCTGAAAAAGAGAAAACAATTTTCGGGGTACAGAAATGGCACATTTTTCAGAAGATGTCCACAAATAACTAATTACTTTAGCACAATGAAGATATTCTCTTAATACTAGAGTGTCTTATAAGAGGATACTCATTACTTTCTAACCATCTGTCATCACTCCTCCCCAAAAAACTAATTAGGGTTTCATCCAATCACACATTATAAATCATGCAAATGTGGATGGCAAAAAAACATAGTTTAAAGAAGTTAATATTATAACATTTTGTATTTTAAAAACCACAGGCTTCAAAACTAGCCTTTCATGTTCTAATAATTACCCTGCTTTTTTTTTTTTTCATCTTTTCCTGATTAACTATTAGACAGCAATCTTAGAAAACCAAATTAAAAAGAAAAACTTACAGGTAGTAGAGTTTTCCTGCAGCAGGAAGTCTCCTTTTCCGGTAATCTACCCCAGAGTCTAGCTGGACTGTATTACAGTACTCCTACAATCCAAACACATAAAATACCTTTTTAAACAAGTGTTGGCTTACAATTATAACCTTTCTGGTATCCTATTTTTAATTTTTGAAATTTTCTCAATAAAATAATATAATGAGTTTAGGACAAAACACTAGAGCTCACGTAAGAATCATAAAAGTCGAATATTAAATATCTAATGAGCCAAAAAAAATCAGTTTAAAAGATTTGAAGCATGTCTTCCTGAAAATTTGCTAAAACAATTCTGTCAGCAAATTCCCCATATAACTGCTCTACATTTTGTTAAAATCCTAATTTCTATTACCAGGAAGTAAGAAGTTGGAGGCAATCAGAAAGAATAATTCATGGGGCTTAAGTATCACAGTGGGAGAGACAGTTTAAGAGAGTTGGACCAGAACATCTGTATCAACATTTTAAATAAGGTAATCATTCTAAAGTGATAGTATATGTACATCTGTCCTTAACTTCTAAATGACTGCCAATGCCCTTTGTCCCTTAGTTCCCTCTCCAGCTATCAGTGTCTTCAAGTTCTTTCCTGATGTGAATACCTCTCTTCAACCCGAGCTGTCCTGTGCCATTAATGTCCTTCTCTTCTCCCAATTACTCTTTCCTTTCTATTGCCCACTCAGGGTGCATACGTGCATAGAAATTCACACACACGTGCATGCTCATACACATACCCTAAAACTCTCACTACAGAAGTATATGAACTTTTGCTACACCTATCTTGGTCAGTTGGCTTCTTTTTGCTGGAGGAGTGGGGATGTATATTGATAGATAGATAGATAGATAGACAGACAGACAGACAGATAGACAGGTAACATTTACAGGCTGATCTGTTATTCATGCAAAATGAAAATTGCTTTATGAAAATTCATGAGGAAAAAATTATATTTTAACAACTTCACTACTTTTATTAATGAAAAATTGTATTTGGGTGCCAAGGTAATTATGGCAGACTATTTTCCAAAGATGGCTGCAATAGTCTCTCCATCCCAACATGTTGTGACATTAGCACTCCAATCATCAAGAAATGGGGTCTATATCTCACTCCTTCGAGTCTTGTGACTATAGTGAAAATGATACTATGTAATAATATCCTGAGTGACACTCAAGGTAGCTTCTTACTTGTTGGCTGGGACACTTGCTCTAAAACCCTACACTGCCAGGTAAGTATCGAACTGCCTGATGGCAATCATGTAATGAGAGAGCTTACAGTGGCCCATAGAGAGAGCCAATCTGGAGAGGCCCTGAGATGACATGAAGAGAGAGGTGTCTAACCAGTCCTCAATTGTTCCAGTCATAGCCATTATGGTACTAAGGGGGCCAGAATTACCAGGTAGCCTTTCTCAAATTCCTGACCCACAAAAACCAAGAGAGATAATGAAGTACATTATCTTAAGCCTCGAAATTTTGCAGTCATTTATTGTGCAGCAATTACCAGAACAGTAATATCTGGGCGCACTTGAGATGTACCAACATTCTTCCTGCTTGAAACTGCATCCAGGTTGTAGTGCTATGCCTGGGCTGAAGGCTGTTTATTTATCACGTGCCCTACAGGGAGGAGACAGTATATAGCTGAGTGAGGATGCATTTCCCCTCCTCCCAGGCTGCAGCTGCTACAGGCTCAGGGAAGTAAAATAGGGTGATTAACCATCCCCCCTAGGACTGAGTTTTCCCAAGACTGAGAGATTTTTCTGGATGCAGGACTTTCAGTGCTAACACCATGACAGTCTTGGACAAACTGGGACAGCTGGTCACCCGAGGAATAAAGACCCAGAAATCTAGGCTGCAAGGCTGAAATAGGTTTAGCATTTTGATTTATACAATTGACCCTTGAACAAAACAAGAGTTAGGTGTGTCAAACCCCACACAGTCAAAAATTCATGTATAACTTTTGACTCCCCAGAAACTTAACTACTAATAACCTACTGTTGACTGGAAGCCTTACCAATACCATAAACAGTCAATTAACTCATATTTTATAAGCTATGTTTTTATAATAGAGTAAGCTAGAGAAAATGTTATTAAGAAAATCATAATGAAAATACATTTATAGTATTTATTGAAAAAATCCCCTTATAAGTAGACTCATGTAGTTTAAACCTGCGTTGTTCAGGAGTCAACTAAATATTAGCAATTGTGAATTTGAGTACTATAAAATGATCCCCAAGAAGAAGCTGGTCCTCTGTGGAAACCTATAAAGCTGAGCTTTTGAACCATGTATGTGAAAAGCAACCCCTTCACCTAACAAAGTCATGCCTCCCTACAGTGCTTAACCTGAGCAGCCAGTTGGCCTCCCTATACAGACATTCCTAGTTCATCATTCGAAGTCATTCCAACACACTTCCCAGGCTTCACTCTCAGAACTCAGGCCCTGTAACCCATTTCATCAGAAAAAAATACAGTATCGCCCAAATACATGTATTCCACTCTCCCCTTGCCTCAGATGACTGTAAAAAATAAAAGGGATAGCCCTATATTTTCTTCTCAATTTTGAGTAAAGTACTAAACCTGGGAAAAGAGATACTTCCTCTCCCTTGTCCATGCTATAATTGGAGGTGCTCGGCCACTCAGTACAAAAAGCAAGAGAGGTTCTTGATTAAGCAACACTTCTTACTCTCTTCTCTGAGGGAAATTTGTCCTGGTATGGTTAAGGGCCAATTATTCATAAGCTACCTGTATCACAGACAATATAATAAATAGTATAGTAATATATTCACATATTTCCCCAGGTTCTCTATTTCTTTTAAACCACAATTTATCTTATATAACTCAGTATTCTTAATTTACTAAAAAAAATTTTTTTTTTTTGCTATTAAAAAAAAAGGTTAATGGAAGTTATACAAGCTTCGATTTCACTTTCTGAGTAACTAACTTCTCTCTCATATGAGTGATTAAGCTCTACCAAATGATTGCATTTGTACATTCACTAATCACCACCGAGGAATACCTAATCAACAGCAAAAGAACCATAACCAAAGCCCTTAGGTGTTAGTTCTTAATTGTCTGAAAAATAGTAACACTCAGTTTATATTTTTAAAGAAAAATAAACCTCCAATTTTCAGGTTTTATTCTCTTAAGCTAGATTCTTCAAAAACATTTTGCAGAGGGTGGAGGAGGGTGAAAGCTAAGATATTTCCAAGTTGAGAATGAATTTAGTCATAAGGGTATGATCGCTAAGTAATTTCCTAATTTCCAAGGATGTTTACAAGACCTGTGACCTCTTATCATCAGCCAATTCAAATGCATAAAACTAATCAGCCACCAAACAAAATTGTATTTTAAAATCGTTTGTATATTTATGTACACAAAGGACAAATACAGTTACTCAATCTAAAAATGCAATTAGGAAGTTTGGGGAGGAAAAAGGAGGAGGTTAACACACCCCTGGGAACATATTCAAGAGTCAAAGGCCTTCGACTCTGTAAAGAAAAATGTAGTACTAAAAGAACCATGTTCCAGCAGTTTGCATTTTCCTCAAGACCTATTATTTGTATTTTTAGCAATTCTGAATAATATCACTAGAAAAAAGAGCCATCTCACAAAATAACTTTACAAGGCTTCTACTCTGCCTTTGCCCTTCCCAGATGGAACAAAAGAATAAACATTGTGGAGAAAATTCTTTAAAACTATAACATATCAACCTTGTGAGCAAAGACTGAGATAATAAAGATGTGCTCCACCAAAAAACTATTAGAAACAATAAATTAATACAGTAAAGCTATAGGATACAAAATCAATGTACAAAAATCCATTGTGTTCCTATACACTAACAATGAAATTTCAGGAAAAAAATGAAAAAAACAATCCCATTTGCAATGTTAACAAAAAGAATAAAATACTTAGGAATAAACTTAAACAATGTGAAGGATCTATATATTGAAAACAGCATTACTGAAAGAAATTATTTTAAAAAGGATATTCTATATTCATGGATTAGAAGTATTAACATACTTAAAATGACCACATTACCACAGGACAAACAAACAGAGATTCATGGACATGCACAATGGACTAGTGGTTACTAGAGGGGAGGGGAGAGGGTGGAGGGAAAAAAATAAATAAATAAAATGTTAAAAAATGTTAAATAGAAAAAAAATTAAATTAAAAAAAAATGACCACATTACCTAAAGCAATATGTAGATTTAATGCAATCACCAACAAAATCCCAATGGCATTTTTCAAAGAAATAGAACAAAAAAATCATCAAAATTGTATGAAACCATAAAAGATTCCGAATAGCCAAAGTAATCCTGAGAAAAAAAGAACAAAGTCAGAAGCGTCACACTCCTTGACTTCAAATTATACTACAAAGCTACAATAATCAAAACAGTATGGTAGTGGCAGAAAAACACACAGACCAATGGAATAGAATTGAGGGCCCAGAAATAAACCCACATGCATAAGGACAACTGATTTTCTACAAAGGAGACAAAAGCATACAATGGAGAAAAGAAACCTTCTTCAATAAATGGTGCTGGGAAAACTAGAAAGCCACAGGCAAAAGAATGAAATTAGACTGCTATTTGATACCATACATAAAAATTAACTCAAAATAGATTGAAGACCTAAATATAAGACCTGACACAATAAAATACATAGAAGAAAACATAGGTATTAAATTATGGATCTTGGTCTCAGAGAGGATTTTATTAATTTTACTCTAAAAGCAAAGAAAGTAAAAGCAAAAATAAATGAATGGGATTATATCAAACTAAAATGCCTCTGTACAGCAAAAGAAATCATAAACAAAAGAAAAAGACAACTAACAAATGGGAGAAGGTATCTGCACACCATACTTCTGATAAGGGACTAATAACCAAAACATAAAGAACTGATACAAGTCAACAACAACAACAAAAAAACAAAAAGTCCAATTAAAAACTGGGCAGAAGACCTAAACAGACCCTTTTCTCAAGAAGACATATAAATAGCTAACAGATATATGAAAAAATGATCAGTTTCACTAGCTATAAGAGAAATGCAAATCAAAACCACAATG